CTCAGAATACCTACCTACCTACACACACACACACAGAGAGAGAGAGAGAGAGAAACACGCATGCACACACACACACATGCACCAACACCAACTTTCATTCAAGTATTCCACATTGATATCGCCATGACTTCCAGAACATCGCATGGAACCAGCCAGAGTCTGCTCCGGGCCACACCCGCGGTGCCATGGCCTTAGGTTCCTGGTGCACACACCCAAAATGTGCACTCACATCTGAGCAGTTCGCAGCCATAGCTAGGAGAGAAGGGTGACCGCCAGGCCGGGATTCTTGGGAGTTTCTGTTTCATCCCCCCTCTGCCCCCACTTTCTTCCAGAGTCCAGAACTGGGGAAGCCACACAAGTGTATGTGTGTGGGTACGAATGAGACGTCAAAGGAACATCAAAGTCTTCTTCTACTTTTACTTCACCCACCCCCTCCCCAAGAACCAAGCTAATGGGAACACCTGGAAGGAGCGTCAGGACAGGGTGGTCCCTGACCTGCTACCCTGAGTCCCCAGGGGATGAAATAAGTAGTGTGTGGGTGCACTTCCCTCCCTGTGTGTGTGAAGGTCCTTGTTTGTGTGTGGCCTGGCACCCCCTGCCACCCCCGTGTCTGGCACTCTGTGCCTAACATGCATGCCAGGGCTCTGGCAGGCATTGGGAGTTAGTGCCAATAGCTGGGTGCCAGGCCCTATGTGGAGAGTAGGCGCAAATCATGGTAGTGGAGATCCGTGCTTCTGTGAATCTCCAGACCTTGCCCAGTACCTCATCTCTGTCTTTTCTGGGTCCTGAGAGGCCATGGACTCCTTATCACAGCTCTCTGTCCTGTGGCTCATTCTCTCCTGTATCCGGGACTCTGTCCCAAAGTTTCATGAAAACACCCTTTCCAAAGCCACTCTTCCATCCAGGCATGGGTTCCTGATGGGTCAGGAAAATCTCCGAGAAGGAGCTGGAGCCAGACCCCCCTTGGGGGGAGGAACTCTGGGTGGAGACCCCATCTCCACTCAGCCATTCATGTGCTTCCATGTACTCTTCCCTCTGGAAATATAGATGATGGTCGAACCCTGGCCTGGGTGGCAGCATTTGCCTGAGTAAGGTGTGTGTGCCTGACCTTGGGTATGTGGCCTTGTGTGGTGGTTGTTGTTTGTTTTGGTTTCGATGCACTCGTGTCCGTGGGGTTCTGTGCCCCGTGTCATGACCTTATATGTGCACGTGTGTAGGTGTGCATGTGGCATTTGTGTTTCCTATAGCTCTCTTTCTGAGTTATCTTGCTTCTAGAAATTCAGAGAAACAATCCTTTTCCAAAACCACTGACTTGTGTTGTCCCGGGTCAATTGTCGGGGTCCGGAAGAGAAGAGTGTCCCTTACTTTAACTGTGAAAGTTGCGCTCGTCAGCCCTCCCAGATCTGGCTACCCTCCTTAGATTCCAGCTACAGCGTCTCCAGTCTCAGCCCCTCAAAGTACCTCCCCTGGGAAGGAAAGTCCTGGGGGACAGTCAAGCTTCTCACAGAACCAGCACCCATAACAAGGGGAGAAAGAGAAGAGAAAGAGAAGCCAGACAGCGAGGTGAGGAGGAGGCTGGGAAGCAGGCTGTACCCTGGTCCCGTAAAGCACACGGGGAAGCCCAGGACTGGGTGGGAGAGAGACCGGCCTGAGTGGATAGGGTAGAGGAAATTGCCTTTGGCTGTGGAGTACAGGATGGCTAAGCTGCTTCTAGTCAGTGCACCCCTTCAGGTGGAACTATGCTGAGTCTTGGTGAGATTGGACTACCTGCCCCATTTATATGACACCTGATACCCCCTGCTTCCCCTCCCCGCCCCGGCCCGAACATCCCATTTCCTAAGTCTAGAGACCACAGCACCTCCCTCCTAGGATCTGTACTCTAACTCGCTGTGGCCTCCCTGGCCGCTGACCCTTTCCCCTCGTCAGGTGGAGGTGCTGTAGAAGTGTTAGGAGTTTCAGATAGTCATAACTGGGAGGGGCCGGCCCAGCCCTGTCTGAGGCCTGGTGCCAGGGTAAGCCTGTCTTGGGGGTAGAGAACCAACCTGGTGCCAGAATCAGGAATCTGGCCTGGTAGGGGCCTCCATGGGAGAGGGGTGGGGGTGGGTGGAATGGGCAGAGGGCAGGAACCCTAGTAGATAAGGCAGGACCCAGAAGGGCAGGTTAGTGGAGGGTAACCGGGAGTGGAGCTACCAGAGCCATTGGGTCCCACGCACTCAGACCACAGTCTTAATCTTTGGTCCCATCTCCCAGTCCCAATCTCACCCCTCTGATCAGAAACCTGGTTAGCCCGCATGCCCGGGGCTCTGGACGACCAAGGGTCTGTAACTGGAAGGCAGGCTGCTCTCTGCTTTGGTGACCAGTGACTCACTAGCACCATCTGCTGGCTGCCTGGGAGCGTGCAGCTGTCAAAGCGGTATTCCTGGAGCTAGACATTCACTCAGAACTTACTTTTCCTCTGTGGTCTGACTCAGAAGCAGCCCAATCCTAGGGAGCCCTACCCGATATGATGCTCATGCACTCTTTCTCTTCTCTGGCACAGTGGCCGAGTACTCCGTTTCCTGCCAATGACTAGTTCTTTTGTCATGTTCTAGACCTCCCCTCACACTATTGCCAAAGACAGCAAGTTTCTTTCCATGGGGGGGGGGGTATTTCCATTCTGAGCCTTGTGCACACCAGGCATGCACTCTAATACTGAGCAACATTCTCTGTCCCTTGTGTGTACATGTGGAGGCCAGAGGTCAACACTAGATGTCGTCCTCTATGTCTCTCCACCTTATTCTCCGAGACAGGGTCTCTCACTGAGCCTGGAGCACACCAATTCAGCTAGACTGGCTGTTCAGAAAGCTGCTGGGACCCCCTGGTCTCTACCACTCCGAGCACTGGAGTTCCGGACAGCACCACCAATCCTGACCTTTGCGTGGGTTCTCGAAAACTAAACTTGGGTCTTCTAGCTTACACAGTGAACACTTTACCCACAGAGCCTTCTCCCCAACCCCAATATAGCCGATTTTCATTGGCCTCCTACTGGGTGCCAGGTCCTGTGCTTGGACCACAGATAGACCCATGAGCATTGGTCACTTCCCAGCAGCCTCTCTCTCTCCGGCAGCCTCAGGCCTGCATCCTTCTCCTCGGGCGTCGTTCTCATGTGCCCTCCTCTCTTCTCAGCCGCTCTTAGCTGAAGTTATTTTACTTGCCACTGTTCCTCTCCATTCCCCCAGGTTAGCCCAGGGTCAGCTTCCACTCCTGACCTCACTGGACCGCCTGAGAATCTGCCTTCAGCTGTCTCGGTCTCCTCAAAGCCTCTGTTCTTCTGGCCTCTCTTGACTGCCCGGCTCTGTCTCCCTTTGATCCTGGTTTTCCTCCCAGCTCCCTGCCCTTCAGCCTTCTTCATAAACTTGTCTTCTGTGTGGATGAGCGTCTGGTTGTGGAGGCCTCACACTTACCTCCTCCACCCATGAGCTCATCTCCTACTCACATGCTGGCGACACCCACACTCTTGCTCTCCAGCCAAGGCCTCCCTCTTGACTCCAGCCAGGCCCACGCATCCAGCTGCCCTGGATGCCTCCCTTGGACACCATAAGCCACTTGCACTCAGCATGTCCAAAGTTGGTCTCATCATCTTCCTAAGTCCTGGCAGACATCTTCTTCCCAGAATGTCCTCACTCTGTGCACTGGCCTCCAGACTTCCTGTGTTCTGGGCTCTGAGTTGGGTGCAGAAACCTCACGACAACTCCTTTTAGTAGGTCTGATTATTACCATTTAACCTTCAAGGGAACGGGGACTAAGAGTCTTCTCAGGCCCAGCCTCAACACTTAAACTCAGGCTTAAATGCAAAATCTGTGCTTTTGAGAACAGCGTCAATCCAGAGCTGCGTTGCGTTTACCGCACGCGGCCTCGTGGACTTAATTTTATGGGCAAAAGAGAACATGGTGTGGTCTTGAGCAAATAAGACCTCTGTCCCAGATGGCCAGGAAGTAGATTTAGGATGAAGATGTAGGTCTGGAGTCTTGTTGCTACAGCCAGGTAAGGGAACAGAGGTCTTACGTCGACAAACTGAGCCTAGGGTATCTGTAGATACGCAAACGGCTGAGGCCAGAGGCAGTTGGATACTTGTGGGTAGTGTGGATACTGGAGATGACTAACTCACTTCTAAATACTCTGCATGTGAGCCAAAACCCCTCTCATTTTTCAGAGGTACCCTATTTGGTATGAGCACCTGGAGATTTTGCCCCTTGGTTCCCTGGGGGGAGGGGCAGTGAGATCCAGGATACCATGAGCGTCACCTAGATTCCCAGGCTGTTTCTGTGGCTCTCTCTTGAATTATTTTATGGCCTCCAAGATTGAAGGCAGATGTTTAGGGAGTAGGGTACCAGAAGGTGGGAAACATTTTGTGCTTTGCAGAATTTTCTGGATCAGCCCCAGAGGGGAAGCAAGGCCCAGCTGAGAGGTCTGCAGAGAGACTACCAGCAGACTCTGAGT